GAGTGATATATGTATAATTTTTTAATATATTATTTAATTAATAGATATAATTTAATGGAGTGGTTTAACAATTAAAAATTTGATATTTTAAATTAGAGATTTTAAATTTAAATTTTGAATTAGATAAAAAAAATTTAATGAAAAGACATGACTATTTTTTCTTATATAATTCATTCAGATATGTCAAAAAAATTAATAAATGTATTTAATATTATAATTTTAAATATATAAAAAAATTAATTATTTAACTGATGAATAAAAATATACCAAAAATAATATAAAAAATTATTCCTAAATTATTCTCTAATTTTTATGGTAGTAGATGAACCATCACAAAAACGCCTTTGACTTTCTAGTCCTAAGTTTCGCACTAAAATACCAATAAAATTTTCATCGAGAAAATATTTATTAATTTAATTTTTTTAATTTAGAGGAAACATTAAATGTTATATTTATAATACTAAACAATTAATCCTTCAATCTACCTAAGAAAAAAAAAAATGGCACTAAATTATTATTGTTCATAGGTTTAGGACTCGTAAATAAGGCCGGGTTTTATTGAGAGATGGGTTTCGCACTTTTGCCTTTTGCTTTCATGGGTTTTGGGCTGAATGAATTGGACTTACCTTCACAGATCGGTCATGGCTGCCGCAGCATTTTTCGAGGCAATAACTCCCGCCTCAAAGGGCCATCTTCAAATTTCAAATCAATCAGTCTCCCTCTATTCTGCAATCTCTGACTTGGGTTCAAGCACCGTGTTCATCATGGGAACCAAAGCAGGTAGGCAGAGACGCTATTCCCTTCATTTCCCTTCATTTTACTACCAATCATCAAACAATTTTGTTTCACCTTGGAAAATAATTGTGCATTTGTGAACCAATACATATTTTTTAGGGGTTGATCTTTGGTCGGAGATCATAGCATCGGAGGAGCAAGAGGGGGTCCGACAACAACCCAGAATCGAAGTCATCTATCAGAGGAGACGACCTCAGAAGAAGACCTGCCAAGATACGCTCTTGTATGCTTAAAACTTTAGGGTTCTTCTTTTTGCTTTCTTATTTTTCTGGGGTTTGGGTTTTGAAACAGTTCCTTGTGTTTTTTCTATGTTCTGGGTTTTGTTTCCAGGAAGCAAGTGGATCCTAGTGGCCTGAAACGGGTGAGTATAGTTGATGCCAACAAGCGGGTCAGTTGGAATCGTTCACTTTCGACCAGGTATTTTGGACCTGATTCAGCTACTTATCATCACCATCATTTGATTTGATTCTCGGTTTGTTTACAAATTTTAGTATTTTTAGTGTAAATGATTACACTTTAACATTCCATGGGTTAGTTTTAAAAGTGCCCACTTTCTTTATCTCTCTTCAATTACTCTTCCAGTTAGAATTTGAGTATATAGGGTGCTTCTGCTCGGTAGATATTAACGAAAAATGAACAACTTTTCTTTTATATGCCATCAATGTTCTTTCCCTGTTTGCTAAACAAAAAGGATTTTTGATGGCTGTGGTCTGATAATGCCATTGTACTTTTCTCCTGCTTGTCTTAGGGGGAGGACAAGTATTGCTGTCGTTCCTGGTGTGAAGAATCAGCCTCAACAAAGGCAGGCAAAGGGAAAGGGAAAGGAAAAGGGAAAACCGCCAGTTTATAAAGTATTATCTTTAGTACTCAGTCCTTTATATATAAATAGTTTGCGCTTAACCTTCACTTCATATAGCTGTTTTAGTTGCTTGCCTTGAGTTATGATATGTTATTACTCCACAACTTGATTGTTGATACTGTTGTTTGAGGCCCTTCTTGGTTCTTTCAGCTGGGCATATTGACTTCTATAAATGCTATAAATCAATCTATGTCTACTTTTACAGGGAAAGGTTGCAGAACCTCCAAGCTTTGAGAAGGAGCGAGAATACTTTCAAGAGGTTGATGCCTTTGAGTTATTGGAGGAGAGCCCTTCCCCTAAGAACTTTGGGACATGGGCCATGGGCGATAAACGTGACATAATTCCCATACCACATTTAACCTCAAGATTAGAGAAATGGTTAATTTCTAAGAAATTAAATTATAGTGGCGGGCCTTCTAGCACGCTGTCAAAGATATTTGAAACTCCAGCTTCCATGGAAACCATATGTGAACATGATTTTGATTCTTCCAATTTGAGAACTCCAGAAAAATCTTCTTGTAAAGTCAATTTAGGCTTGCATTCTGTCCAAAGCAACATACATGAAGGTTTAGTAAATATTGATGTTCTTGAAAATGATGTGGATTCTCAAAAGAGTAATGCAACCCTTGTGAGCGCTGGTGATGAGGGTTGTGAAGCTATAGAAGCTGGAGTTAGGAAACTCTCTTTGACATCAGCTTCAACTTCATTAGATCTTGATCATGTAGATCCATTTTCTAAACTTTTGGAAATTTGTCAACAGACAGCTCCTTCAAAGCTGTTGGATGTCTTTGCTAAGTACTGGTTAGTCCTTAAAAATTTGATCTTTTTATTTCTCTATTTCCTTTTTACCCTCAAGAAGGGAACCATGATACATTTATGGGTTTACCTTACAAGAGTACTCTTCTCCTGTTAATATCTGGTTTGATGCTTCCTTCTTTTTCTGTTTCCTGCTCCACTAGGTTTTAGTTGAGTTTTCTTCCTCAAGCTGATTATGGTGAAACCTTTTTGATCCAGTGACCCAGACAATATTCGAAAAGTTGGTGAAGGTACCTATGGAGAAGCCTTCGTGGCTGGTAATACTGTCTGCAAAATTGTTCCGTTTGATGGAGATCTGCGAGTAAATGGAGAAATACAAAAGGTATATGCCATAATGAAATACTTTTTCTCTTAGTAAGTTGTTTGGCAAGTTAAATTATTTGTGACTGAGTCAAAGGTGTGTTTAAGAGTTGGTGTCAATCTTGGTTTCCAGACAATTATGTAATCTGTTTTTAGCCATATCATTTGTTTGAAGACCAAATCTCTCTAAATGCCTTGTAAATAGCAAATCAATGATGTTAGTATATAGTGGCATTAAATTAGGCAGAGCCTTTAGGGTTTGGATGTTTTCTTTTCCTTTCTTTCTTTTTTTTTATTAGTGATTCTGGATGGTAGATGATTTTCCTAAAAAAGAAGTTTTTACTTGCTTGTTAACTGTTGCAGAGCATTTCTTGTAATAGTTTAAACATTGTTTTTTAATTTTTCCTTTTTGTGGGTGAAGTTTGTTGCTTTTAAACTTTGTTTTATCTCTGAACCATGTTATTTGATATTCTACAGAAATCAGGAGAATTGCTTGAGGAGGCTGTGCTTTCCCGAACTCTTAATAGTTTAAGGGACTTTGAGCATGACGTTTTTAATGCATGCACAATGTTTATAGAAACAATAGAGTAAGTAATCCACATTACAATTTCCTGTTCTATTTGTTCATAAATCTGTTGGAAACAATTTACAATAGCTTGTATTTACAAGCACTCTCCATACTTAGCTGGTTTCCTAGGCTTATTGATCTTGCAAAGAGCCATCTTGCATCCTTTATGCTTGAAACAATGCACCCATAGTTCTGAACTTTCAGATTGACCCATGGCATTGGCCCTTTTCTGTGCCCAAAGTTTGCCCTTCCTAGACAGGCTAGGCTGATGATTTATTTTATGGTTTTGGGTTTGGGTTTTATCAATTTCAGTTTTCATAGAGAAATTCTGAAACTTATATAGGCACACTGTAGACAAATTTGCCATGACCAAACTTATCCTCTGACAAGATAATGCAAGACATTAGTGACATGTCAATTTCAATATACATCCTTGAGATATGTAACTTTTACTAGTCTAAGTGATAGCCTTATTTGACAGTTTGAAGGTATGCCAAGGTCCCTATGATGCATCCTTGATCAGAGCTTGGGAAAAATGGGATGAAGAACGTGGCTCAGAAAATGATCACCCCAAGGAGTTCCCAGAGAAGCAGGTTTGTTATCTTTCGGTTGCATGGAAACATATGTCATAAATTGATGGTACAAGAATTTCTTATTCAATTTCACAGATGGTAGCTGCCTGGGTTTTATTTAGAAACTACAGATTTTTTATGCACTTCTTACAACTTAAATGTGATCTACTAAGGTTTATTTACCATGGCTGATGAAATTGCATTCAGTGCTACACTGTTTTTGTTCTGCAACATGGTGGCAAGGATCTTGAAAGCTTTGTACTTGAGAACTTCAATGAGGCAAGGAGTTTGTTGATGCAGGTAAATTGAATGCTAACCTAATTTTATGATATTATCTTAAAAAGAATAGATATCTCTGACATAGGTGCAAGAAGACTTGTTTTATGTTAAAGACAAACATGCATTTTCCAGATAAATCAGGGAGCCTGAGCTGATTTAAAAAAAAAAAATTTTCGGGGAGCTTGAGATGTTACCTAACTGTCCATCATGCATTTGCAGGTTACTGTTGCTCTTGCTGTAGCTGAAGCTGCTTATGAATTTGAACATCGTGACCTGCACTGGTTTACTTACTATCTTAATCTTTTTGCTTGTAGTGCTAGATTCTTTCCTCTGACAGCTGATAGGGCAATATCTGTTTGTTACAGGGGAAATATACTTCTCAATAGAAATGACAGTTATACATTGAAGTTTATTTTTGATGGCAAGCAGATGTCCATTAGAACATTTGGCTTATCTATTTCAATAATTGATTTCACTCTATCAAGGATTAAGGCTGGTGAGATCTTCCTCTGCTTTTCATTATATTTTTGCTACATCAGGGTTTACATTTATAGTTCAATTTCAACAACACTAACAAACATTCTATCTGATCAGCGGAAAATATACTATTTCTGGACTTATCACTAGACCCTGATCTATTCAAAGGTCCAAAAGGAGACAAACAAGTAAGAGATAGACACAAGTTTTAAATTCTATTTTGTAGGTCCACTTATCTATACATACACCTAAATTGTTGTTATTATCATCTGCAGTCAGAAACGTACAGAAAGATGAAGGAGGTAACGGAAGATTACTGGGAAGGAAGGTATATTGTTGATCTCTTCATATACAGAAGTAGATTCTTGCTAATGTTATTCATGGATTTTGCATTGGACTTGGGCCCGAAAATCTACTTAAAGCTAAAAGAGAAATGCATTTCTTTAGCTAAATCATGCATAGGGTTAAGTTTCTGTTATATGGTGCTAATATTTAGCTCTAAATGCTGATGTTACAAAGTTTTCCCATGCTATGGGAAGGTGTTGATAAATAATTTACTTGAAAAGCATTATAGCTCGGCATTTTAGCATTTGGTTTTTGCTTTCCCCAATGTTTATATCCAGGAGATGCATGTTTCTTGAAGGTTTTTAATTTGAATGCAAGTTCTTTATTTTGTTAAACCATTGATGTGAACCTTGTTGGCTTTTGTTGTTTGACAGTTTTCCCAGAACGAATGTATTATGGTTGCTGTATTTGGTGGATATACTACTCCTGAAGAAAACCTTTGTAAGTGATTTTCTTTCCATGAATCAGGAAACAATTCACTCTAAATCAATACCAGACCTGCACTTAAAACTTAGGAAGTCCCATAATATGTTTATTGTTGGAATTTGGATTTTGAATGATTGGGGTCTTGCCATTCTTACATCTCATTGGTTTTGACGAATTAGAGTATCTCTGAACTTATAGAAATAAAACATATAGTAATTTTAGAGTTCACAAAATGTCTTTGCTGTATCAGGTACGCTCTTCAAAGAATGAGAGGGACTTGCGCTCACTAAAGAAGCGTTTAGACAAGTATCAGTCGGCCAAAGAAGCCGTTTTTGATCCTTTCTTCAGTGATTTATTAATGGACCAGGGTTGTGAATAGTGTACATTTTTTGTAGGTTTTGCAAATTAGATTGCAAAACACCAGTCCTTGGATGGAGGGACTTCCCCCAATATTAGTGGGCTCGTCTTAATCCAATGGTTAATATTTTGTAGTCTAATACAATTTGAACTGCAAGATACTTATATTTTGATATATTATACCAGGTAAGGAATATACTTCAATAAGGGGAAATTGTAAATAGAAAGTTAACCATGTCATCAGCAATTTATCCCAAAATAGGATGTCTTCTTACTACTGTTTATCATGTTAATAGTATATTCCTTGAGCCTTGGGCCATCGAGAGCAGAGATGAATTTAGTTCACTTTCTATCTTCAAACCAGAAATTCAGCATAACATGTTTCTAAAGTTGTGGACAAGGACATGGAGAATGCAAGTGTCACTAATACTATGCCTTTACACGTTTCATAAGTAAGCTTTTCTGTGCCCAAGGGCTAAGGCAAAAGAAGAGAAATTTTGTAAGGCCATGTTTTAGAGGTACTCGTGGAGCTAGTTAGGTAAAGATTTGAATGAAATGCGTTATAAAATAAAAGAAAAATATGGAGCAATTGCATGATGGGCGAGAAAAGAACAGTGGCATTTTATGTTTGGTATGCTTTCGGCTGAGATCTAGTCAGACAATTGGTGCTTTTGATTCATTTAGGGTTGAAAGAAAGGAAACTTAACATTGCTCCACATGGGCTGTCTGTCCCACACTTATTTATTTGCTATATGGTCATGTTGTTTGAAAAAAAGAAGAAAAAGGAGGAAACTTCTGTAGCAGTACGTGATTAAGTAAAGCTAATTTTACTTTTCCTTTAACATTCTAAAAAGAGATCTTATCTGAAGGAGAGGAAGAAGAAGAAGATGCTGCCAAAACATCTTTACAAGATTTGGAGCCCAAAATAATTCAAGAATGATTTAGTGGTTTTTGATGAGCTAAACCAAATTGACTTTGGTTCCAGCCCTTTATATGGCGCAACCAATTTCAAATCTTTAACTGCCTATGTATGATATATACTGGTGCTGCTGACAATAGTCTTTTCTTTTCTTTTTCTTTTCTTTTATTTTCTTTTCTTCTTCTTCTCTCTCTCTCTCTTTTTTTTTTCTTTTTTTTGGCATAATCTCACCCCGAGTTAGAGTTTATCTATTTACTTTTAAAATAGTTTCTTGATGTGCAAGTGGAAATCAGGTCAAGTAGGATTCGTTTGAAAGTATTTCTAGGGGAGAGCTTTGTAGGGCTACTTTTGCTTAATGATCAATCGAAATTTTATGGTACAATGCTAAATTATGAATTCATAAAAAATTTAAATTTTAATAAAATTAAGTGTTTCTTTAATCTAACTTCTAAAAAGATCTTGTTTAATCATACAAAAGCCTAAGTGATGCCAAACACAAGCCAATAATTTCTAGATTAGAACTTTTGTTATTAAGTTTTTGAGTTTGATATGAACATATATGTATATATATATTATCTATTTCAAAATTTTATTACTATTGTATGTGAATTCAAGATTTAGTACTTCTATAAGATTTCTACTCAAACAATAGCTAGGCAAAACAGATTTTAAGTAGAATCTTGACTTTTGATGCCTCGGATGCTTCTCCATAATTAACTATCCTCCTTTTCAAACTATGTATTGACATTGAAAACTTAATGAATCACCAGTCCTATAAGGTGAAACAGGGTATGCGTGGGGAATATGCAGGATTATTCTTAAAAACAATGTGTCTATATTTGTCGATTGTTAGTGATTAGTTAGAGACAACCCTCTTTATGGATAATGGATAATGCTTCTTTGCAATTGGTCTCTGCATGCATGTGCTTACATTCTGAGCCCTAATTGTGTTTGGAGGAAAAGCTAAAAAGCATGTTTGATCCTTTCCACCATACATGCACAATCCAAACAGAATATTTCCCACCACGTTATTGGGCTAATTATTACACTGAGCTTCTTAAATTCTTTGAAAATAATGTTCTTGGCCCTTTAACCTTTTCTCTTACCATTTTGGTCCTATCTCTCTTTTACAAACTCAATCTTAATGTCAACTAGGGCTGCAAATGAAACAAATCAAACCAAAATCTTGTGAGTTGGAGATCCGCTCAAGTAAATTTACATATGCCTGCGTTCAAGCTTCATTTTCAAACTCAAACTTAAAATTTTTAGGCCAATTATAAAATGGTATTTAAGTTTGATTTGAAAAGTTAAACAAGTTTGAATTCAAAATCAAATCTAGATTTAATCATTATCAAGCATGAGAGCCTTAACTATTTAGTTAAGAACTCAATTCATTTGAAGTCCTAATGTTACTAAAATGACCTTTTGCAGGTGTTACTCTTTTTAAATTAGTTAAGCTTGAACTTGTCTAAAACCAAATGAGAAAAGTTCAAGTTAAGCCTTAAGATACTCCTTTTGTTAAATGAGAGGATATATATATATATAGCATAAAATATAACTAGTCTTTAGAGAATTCATTTTCAATTATATCAACAATAAGATACATATTTAAGCTTTAAGGGCACACATCAAAAACAGTGAAGTCAACTAATAAAAAGTGGCCAATCTTCAAGAGATAATTAACACATATATTAGACTCCTTGTAGATATGCTTGATTTGGATATTGTTAAACTTGCCAAGTAGCTCCATGCAATCCAAAACAAGAGAGCTTAGAGGATGGGAGAGATTAATATCATCATATAGCAACAGTAAATCGACTATAGAATCAATTTCAATGATTAAAGAATGAAAATTTCTCTACACAACAAGGGAAAATTCATCATGAATGGCCTAAAGTTCAACATGGATGCCAATTTTTCTTCTTAAGCTAACAATTCAATTGTCAAAATAGTTGTAAAATATAGTTCTTACAGTAGCTTCACCAAGATTAGTAAAAGTCGAATTATTAATATTAAGCTTTAAAGTGCAAAGAGGTTGTAAGCCTTAAGATACTTGGTATGGGCAAAACTCATACACGGCCTACGAGGACCCATATGGTCCAAAAATTTTGGAGTTAGGAATCAAAAAGAAAAGCTATAGATCAAAACAAGCCCTTAAACAAAAGTTAAAGGACCACTGTTGTCATTAACCCCTAATTGTTCTTTATGACAAAGTAAGTTAAGTAACAACACTACATGTGTATAAAAAAATAATAATAATAAAATATTTATATGGAACACAGTCATCTTCTTCCTTTACTTAGTTTTCACTTTTCTTCCTTCGCCTTTACATCTGCAACACTTTCCCTCTCTTATATTCTAATACCATTGTGTTTGTTCACCTCCTAACAACCTCAAAACCTTCCATTTTCATGGCTGAATCAGTTCCAAAATGCTGCTGCTTCTTTTTCTTATTCCTCCTCTTCTGCTCTTCTGCAGTGTCATCCATGACAGAACTTCAGGGGAAGAAGAAAGATCGGAGCTTTCCTTCTTCCCGGAGAGAACTTTCTCATGGGATCAATGCAGTTTTACATGACACAAACACCCTTCCTACAACACCAGTTAATCCTTCCCCAATAATAGTCACAGTCCCGGCGACCAATCCGGCCAATCCGGTCACCGTCACGCCGGCCAGTCCGTCAACTACCCCTCTTCCCATTCCGACCACCACACCAGTGACCATCCCCTCCACCAACCCCAACAACCCAACAGTCCCAATCACCAACCCAGTTACCACACCAGTGACCAACCCTGTAACGACATACCCATCTCCGACAGCAGGAGGTGTGGTTCCGGTGACCACTCCAGTAATAAACCCAATTCCGCCTCCGGCAGCCACAAATGCTCCAGCGATCCCAGGGCAGAGCTGGTGTGTGGCCAGGACAGGGGCGCCGGAAACATCACTTCAGGCGGCTTTGGATTATGCATGTGGAATGGGGGGAGTTGATTGTTCACAGATCCAGCAAGGTGGGAGCTGTTACGATCCTATTACTCTGGAAAATCATGCTTCCTATGCTTTCAACAGCTATTATCAGAAAAATCCAGTCCCAACTAGCTGTGACTTTGGAGGAACTGCAAGTATAGTTGGCAGCAATCCAAGTAAGAATTAGTTCTTGTTTCTTCTTGATCTGTTGAAGATTTTGACGATTCTTAACATCTAGTGACATGATCAACAGGCTCTGGTTCCTGCATTTATCCATCTTCAGCAACGGCAGCATCGACACCAACACCAGTAACAACACCATCAACAGCAACACCAACCCCCATTACAACACCTTCAACGACAACGCCAGTCCCCATTACAACACCATCAACAGCGACAACGCCAGGGTAAAGTGTTCTTGCTGATTTCTTTGGTATTGTACACTGGTAGCCCGTTTTACCCTGGAAAAATGACTGCTAGTGTGTTTTCTGCAGTTCTGTTACTCCACCTTCAGTGTTGAATTCAAGCTCTCCTGGCTCATCTACAACAACAATCCCTGGGTATGATACCCCTCCTAATTTTAACTCATCATCATCAATGTCACCCAGGTTGCGACCATTCATCAGTTGCATCATCCTTGTGGCATCCTTTATTGCCGGAGCAATCATCCTGGACCCTTAGAATCAAGAGCTTTTCGGTGTATATAAACAGGCCAGAGGCTCCTGCTTGAGTTGAAGATGAGAATCAGTAGTGGTGAGCTAGCTTTCTGCGGAACAATAGAGGAGCTGAGTCCAAGAGACTGCACTACATGTAGAGAATAGAGGTGTTTAATGCTGAAGGTAAAATTTTATTTATCACGTTTAAGTATACATTTTATTTCAGGATATGAATATTGTGTAGGTAGTCTTGGTCATGAAGATCTTTATGAGGTGGAGTTTTGTAGCAAAGTTTCTTCTTTTAATGGACTTCAAAAGCATGTCTTATTAGCATTGGAATGTAAATATCACCTTGATTTCAGTTATATCTCATATTGTCACGTGTATGCTCATCACTAGGGATAATTAATTACTTTCAGAAGTTCTAATGAAGAACATTAGGTTCAAATCACTGGCCGTAGAAAGAAAAACACATTATTTGCCTTCTTTCTTTCTCAATCATACTAAAGTTTCTGGATGATTCATTTCCTGGTATAAGTATAGGGTAGCAGAAATATGCCAAAGCATAGAAGCCTTTAGAGCATTGGATGCTCGTTTTACATATAGAAATGAAGAGACTATTGCACCAAACATTGACTCAAGTGAGTTGAAATTGGAGCTGCTTAAATGGATATTTTGTTGGTAACACAATCATTTACCCACGGGAAAATGAAAACAAAAAGGAGGTTTCTGGGCCAG